TATAAAGTACACATACAATTCTTCTGGAGGGCAAACACTTTCATCTTTGCCAGTGTCATGGATGTAATTCTTGGTCCACAGCTCAAGATGGCAAGGAATATATCTTTTTATAACTGTCGACTGAAAAAAATGCACAACCTAAAAGTTGAGAAGTATGTTTTATTTTGCAGACGAAACTGAGGACTTAAGCTCAGAAGCCAGCCTCTCAGATAGTTCTGAGGGACTGCTCTGAAGACGTAAGGGAAGAGCCAGGGTATGTAGGAGTTTTTGCAACAAAGACCCCGTAGTCGGAACATCAAAAGATTACTGTTGGGACTTCCCTGGTGGCACAGTGGTTAAGAATCCGCCTGCCAATGCAGGGGACACGGGTTCGAGCCCTGGTCCGGGAAGATCCCACATGCCGCGGAGCAACTAAGCCCGTGTGCCACAACTACTGAGCCCACATGCCACAACTACTGAAGCCCAAGCACCTAGAGCCCGTGCTCCGCAACAAGAGAAGCCACCACAATGAGAAGCCCATGCACCGCAACGAAGAGTAGCCCCCGCTCGCCACAACTAGAGAAAAAAACTTGTGCACAGCAACAAAGACCCAATGCAGCCAAAGATGAAAAAATAAAAGATTATTGTTAATTAAAGAAAACCAGACATCTCAAGTTAATGAATTTAGTGTGCTTTTCTGTGCATGGATGATGCAAGAGTCTGGGCTCACTGAAATCATTCCTTTGATGTGCACCTTAGCTATCTAGGGCCAGCATCCTGCTTTCTCCATCCTAAAGCCCCTCAGGGTGCACAGCTGGGGCGGCTATAATGTGATGGCTTGATGGCTGCAACATCCTTTGTCTACTGATGTGGCAGGTGACATTTTTCATCCACATAATCCAACCTAATTTCTCATTACATTCTCTTTACATTTCTTTGTATAATCCAACACAGAATTTCTTGTGAACTGTGTTCTGTTGCGGGTGGTACATCCAGGCTTCATTTGAGGCTCCTCTCTCTTCCTCGGGACAGGGTTTCAGGTGTCAGGGTCCGGGCAGCTGGTGCTTGATGCTATCTATGCATTTAGGCATCCACCGAGCCTTCCCTCGTCCCACCTGGTATCCAGTTATGGGCCCACGTGTGTCATTGAAGCCTTGGCCCTTCAGCTCCGGCTGCTCCCTCCGCTACATATGGACCAGGTTAGAGGACACGGGAGTCTTCCTGCCTCCTCTGGGCCACACCAGGGCACCCACATCTCCGCAAGGCTGAGTCCCAGTCTATCTGGACTTACTACATAGTCATGGCCCATCCCTTTCTCATCTCCCGGGTAATCTCTTCGTGTGGGAGGAAAAAGCATTTACCCCAAACATCTTAGTTATGTGCAGCGTCCTTTCTGTTCTTCTAAGAACGTGTATTATAGGGTTTTTTTTTTTTGCCACACAGCTTTGTGAGATCTTAGTTCCCCAACCGGGGATCGAACCAGCGCCGCCAGCAATGGAAGCGCAGAGTCCTAACCACTGGGCCACCACGGAAGTCCCTGTAAAGGCTATTTCTTTTTCATGCAGCGCTTTCTCCCGGAGGCACATTAGAACCACGTGGGAAGCTTTTTTAACGCTCTCAGTTTCTGGATCCCTCTTTTACAGGGTTCAGTTATATTGTCCAAAGGGTATTGTCTTTTTTTTTTAATAAGATGTTGGGAATAGGAGTTTATTAATTAATTAATTAATTTTTGCTGTGTTGGGTCTTCGTTTCTGTGTGAGGGCTTTCTCTAGTTGTGGCAAGCGGGGACCACTCTTCATCGCGGTGCACGGGCCTCTTACTACCACGGCTTCTCTTGTTGCGGAGCACAGGCTCCAGACGCGAAGGCTCAGTAGTTGTGGCTCACGGGCCTAGTTGATCCGCGGCATGTGGGATCCTCCCAGACCAGGGCTCAAACCCGTGTCCCCTGCATTAGCAGGCAGATTCTCAACCACTGCGCCACCAGGGAAGCCCACTGTCTCTTTTTTTTTTTTGGTATGCGGGCCTCTCACTGTTGTGGTCTCTCCCGTTGCGGAGCACAGGCTCCGGACGCGCAGGCTCAGTGGCCATGGCTCACGGGCCCAGCCGCTCCGCGGCATGTGGCACCTTCCCAGACCGGGTCAGGAGCCCGTGTACCCTGCATTGGCAGGCGGACTCTCAACCACTGCGCCACCAGGGACGCCCATGTCTTTTTTTTTTTTAAGCGCCCCAGGTGATTCTAATGCAAAGCCAGGGTTAAGCACTTTGTGGAAAGGGAGAGAGGGAAGGAGTGTGGCAAGAAGACTAAAGAGGGAAAAGAGGGGAAATTTACGATTTCAGAACTCTTCTGCTACATCAAGTAATAGCTAAGCAGGGTTAGTTATTGTGAGTTTTAAACAAAGCCCTGTTGTAACCAAGCAGGATGTTATGGGGCCCTCGCAGGACAGAACCCCTCCCCCATATCCTCTGCTTTAGCTCCTCTCTGAAGCACCTAGGTAATAGTATCTGGCGCACATTTCCTGAGTTGTTTTCCAGATGCTAAAACCACCACCAAATGGAAGAAATTAACTACTTGATGACCGTGAGCACATAGCCCCCAGCCCTGCTGGAGCCTAAGGATTGTTAACCCCTGTGACACCACCCTGGCCAATCAGAGAACTGTGCATCCTGGGACTTCCCCTTCCTCATCTTGCCTTTAAAAATGCTTCCCTGGGACTTCCCTGGTGGTTCAGTGACTAAGGCTCTGTGCTCCCCATGCAGGGGGCCTGGGTTTGATCCCTGGTCAGGGAACTAAATCCCATATGCTGCAACTAAGACCTGGTACAACCAAATAAATAAATATTTTTTAAAAAATAAAAATGCTTTCCTGAAACCCATCTGGGAGCTCAACCTGTTGAGTACTGGCTGCCTTGGACTCCCTTCTTGGTGTCCTGCAGTAAATGCTACACTCCTTCACCACAACGTGATGTCAGTAGATTGGCTTCACTTCGGACCCAAGTTTGGCTCAGTAACACTTTGGAAAAGGAGCACATTAGAGAAGCTTGTGGGGAGAGGAGATAGAGCTAGAAACACTCTGCTCCCTGCTACTCCAAGCGTGATCCTCAGACTAGCATCCTTGCCATCACCTGGGAGCTTGTTAGAAATCTCAGGTCCCATCCCCAGATGTCTGGCTTCTGTGAAGTACTGCTTGAGCCACTCCAGCTGGCCCTCCATATCAACAGGGTCTGCATCTGTGGATTCAACCAACTGCAAATCAAAAATGTATACTTTTTTAAATTCCAGATAATTCTAAAGAGCAAAACTTGAATATCTCATACACCAGCAACTATATACATAGCTCTTACATTGTATTAGGTATTATGGGTAACATAGAGATGATTTAAAGTGTACAGGAGGATTTGTGTAGGTTGTATGCATTTTATATAAGGGACTTAAGCATCTGAAGACTTTGGTTTTCTCAGGGGCCCTGGAGCCAATCCCCCTGATTCCAAGGGATGACTATATTTTACTAAGGGCAGGCTCCTGGGAGGAGGCAGATCTAATAGTGGGTTGTTAAGTGGTAGGAATTTCTGGAAAGCTTCATTCATTTCTGAGGGAACAGCAAGAAAATATTCATGCAAGAGGTGAGTGTAGGTGCTGACACAGAGATGTAAAATGGACACAGATTTGGGTCAGTTTCTGCAGAATTAGAATCCAGTTCAGTTCACATGTATCTCTGTTTTCTTTTTAAATGAGAAGAAAATCCTCAGTTCCTTAAGGGTCTGGACCATTTTTTCTCTGCTCAAAAGGTGACAGAAGTAGTGTTGTTGAACCCAAGTTCATGTACCCAACACACAGTGAGGCCATACAAACCAAAAACATCAGCGTTTGGAGCAGAGAAAGGTTTATTGCAGGGCCCAGCAAGAATGGGCAGCTTGTGCTCAGAAGACCCAAACTCCCAGATGGTTTTCAGGGAAGAGTTTTTAAAGGCAACGTCTGGGGTGATGGCTGCAGGGTGTGTCACTTTCTCCTAATTGGGTGGTGGTGAGGTAACAGTGGTGTTCCAGGAATGTCAATCATCAACTTTCTGGTTCCAACCAGTCTGGGGTCTCAGCAAGTAGTCACCATCCTCCACCTGGGTGGTGGGGTTGGGGGAGGTCTTAGTTCCTATAAAACAACCCAAAGATCTGTTTCAGATTGTGATGTATATACCTTGAGGAGGAACTAGGACTCTGTTTCATGGCAGAACTGTTGTTTTTGACTGCTTTTCCTTTGCTTCTGCATTCCTTCACTTCTCTAATTAATAACTGCTTGAATGTGGTCTTTGGAACTCAGGGAAGGTGGAGGAGACTAAAGCCTTTTCCTACAAAAAGAAGTGGGGGAGGGGAATTTCCTGGTGGTCCAGTGGTTAGGACCTTGCGCTTCCCCTTCCCCTGCAGGGGGCACGGGTTTGATCCCTGGTCGGGAATGAAAATCTGGCTAAGCCACGCAGCACAGCCAAAAAAAAAAAAAAAAAAGAAGAGGGGGGTGGGGGGAGGGAAGGGCTTTTGTACCCTGGCAGTTTCAATCCCCCTTTTCTCTGATGCTCCTCAATCTTTAGGGGAACAGGTACAAGACAAGAAAGGGAGGGAATAAAGTTCTGGATACAGAGGTTAACCATAAACTCGGCAGGGGAACTCGGTTTTGGGGGACTAGGTTTCAGTAGGTTAGTTCACTTTAATACCTGTCCTGGGAGTTCCCTGGTGGCCTAATGGTTAGGATTCCAGGTTTTCACTGCTGGGGCCCGGGTTCAATCCCTGGTTGGGGAACTGAGATCCCACAAGCCACGCGGCCAAAACAAAAACAAAAATAAAACAAAACAGGGCTTCCCTGGTGGCGCAGTGGTTGAGAGTCTGCCTGCCGATGCAGGGGACATGGGTTCGTGCCCCGGTCCGGGAGGATCCCACATGCTGCGGAGCGGCTGGGCCCGTGAGCCACGGCCGCTGAGCCTGTGCGTCCGGAGCCTGTGCTCCGCAACGCGAGAGGCCACAGCAGTGAGAGGCCCGCATACCGCAAAAAAAAAAAAAAATAAAATAAAATAAAACAAAACAAAAAAACCTGTCCTGGTGTTACCTGAAAACTGGGTCTCCTCTTGGTGGATGTCGAGCCATAAGATATAACCAAGCCAAAGATAAGAAGAAGGAAGGATTTATTACTTGTATCAAGTAAAGAGAACACCAGGGATCCTTCTCAAAGTAGTGTTTCCAAACAGCAAAATTGGGAAAGTTTTAACCTAAGGGTACGTGCATGTTCATGAAGGGGCTTGAGCAGTGGACAGTCCAAGCTTTAGTTGATTGAAGTCAGGAGGGTCAGAAAAGGTCAACATCATCACCCCTTAGGTTCCAGTTGATCTGGTGATTGAGCACTTGAAGAGGGATTTAAATTCTGCAAAACAGCTCAAGACAGTGCTTTAGGCTAGTCCTTACCATTGAAGTAGAACTGGGAGTCTTTACAACTGATTTGTTATCTTTGCCATTGTTAATTCTCTTGCCTGTTAAGTTTGTCCTTTTGTTCCCTTAAGATCATTATTACAGTAAGTCCCCTACATATGAACAAGTTCCATTTGAGACTGCATTCGTAAGTCCAATTTGTTCATAAGTCCAACAAAGTTAGCCTAGGTACCCAACTAACACAATCATCTATATAGTGCTGTACTGTAATAGGTTTATAATACTTTTCACACAAATAATACATAAAAAACAAACAAAAAATAAAGAAAACATGTTTAATCTTATAGCACAGTACCTTGAAAAGTACAGTAGTCCAGTACCACAGCTGGCACACAGGGGCTGGCACTGAATGAACAGACAAGAAGAGTTACTGAGGGGCTTCCCTGGTGGCACAGTGGTTAAGGATCTGCCTGCCGATGCAGGGGACATGGGTTCGAGCCCTGGTCCGGGAAGATCCCACATGCCACGGAGCAGCTAAGTCCGCGAGCCACAACTACTGAAGCCCGCGGGCCTAGAGCCCACGCTCGGCAACAAGAGAAGCCACCGCAGTGAGAAGCCCGCACACCGGAACAAAGAGCAGCCCCTGCTCAATGCAACTAGAGAAAGCCTGCGTGCAGCAACGAAGACCCAACACAGCCAAAAATAAATACATAAAATAAATAAATTTATTTTAAAAAAAAGAAGAGTTACTGACTGGAGGAGGGAGTGGAGGTGAGAGATGGTAGAGCTGCAGGGTCATCAGCAATAGGAAACAGAGGGCAAGCTGCAATTTCACTCATGCCGGATGTTGATGGCACAGGTTCTGGTTCCTTGCTGGAACTGAAACAGGAGAGAAGGGGGCAGGGCACAATCTTTAAAAGAATGACATAGCCCAGGGACACGACATAAACTAATTAGAACAGGTCCAAGATGGCGGACAAGTTGACTTCCACTAGACCTTGAGCTTCTGAATAGACTCATCGTAACACACCCACGGGTGCCATGACAGTTCCAAGGCCAACCATAAAGGTCAAAAAGGGGGCGGTGGCCCGATTCCTGGAAATATCCGCCCCTTCCCCAAAATACTTGGAATAGTCCTCCCTTTCATAAGCCTATGAAATTACCCACCCCTATAACTGACAACCCTGTACCCTGGGGGCCGCTCTCGCCTTCTGACATGGCCCACACTCTGTCTGTGGAGTGTGTTTCTCTCTAAATAAATCCACTTCTTACCTATCACTTTGTTTCTCACTGAATTCTTTCTGCCATGAGACATCAAGACATCATGCAACAGACTAGCAAATTTAGCAGATGTTGCCCTATTGACTCAGGTTTTCTCTTTATAGAGGTAAAAGGAAAAGGTGGGAAGATTTGTCTACACAGCTATTTCTACTTCCAGCCCTCTATTCGCTTCTCAATCCATTGCAATGTGAATTCTGCCCCCACCACTCTATTACTCCATTGAAATCATTTAGGACTTTTAAAATGAATGTTACCAAACTAAACTTAGGTCTGCTGGCCAAACGTGAAGCAAATTCAATCTACCAACACCAGGATGTGGTGAAGGAAAATACAGCATTTATTGCAGGGCACCAAATGAGGGAGTGGGAGACAAGCTGCAGATCCACTCTCCAACTTGGTCTTTGAGTCTGGGGTGTTTTAAAGGGGAAGACCAAAGAGGCTGGGATTAAACACCGTCTTGTGACATTTCACATTTTGATTAAGAACACTGGTTCTGGGCTTCCCTGGTGGCGCAGTGGTTGAGAGTCCGCCTGCCGATGCAGGGGATGCGGGTTCGTGCCCCGGCCCGGGAGGATCCCACATGCCGCAGAGCGGCTGGGCCCGTGAGCCATGGCCGCTGAGCCTGCGCGTCTGGGGCCACAACAGTGAGAGGCCCGTGTACCGCAAAAAAAAAGAACACTGGTTCTTAATCATAGTTTCGAGAGTCAGACTGTCTCTGGTTTACATTCTGTGGCCAGGGTCTATTAGCTCATCTTGCCCTGGAGAAACAATCTGAGTTTGTACGTTAATGGTGATGTCTATAATAGCAATTTTAGTACATTAACGATGTTATTGACCACAGCAATTTTAATCATCTGACTCTGGTTGATTACTGTTCAGTAAACAAGGAATTGAGCTCAGAGGGGACAAGAAAGGGAATGAAGTTTTGGATAGAGAGATTAATCATAAATTGAGTAAGGGAACTCGGTTTTAGGGGGACTTGGTTTCAGATCGTTCATGACTTTCATTTAAAATGCAGATGCTGTCCAGGGTTCAATCCCCAGACCACTGCCCTTTGAAAACAATGCTATACCAGTGTTTTTCAAATTTGGGTCATCAAATCGATTTAGTGTGTCACTACTGGCATTAAAAAAAAAAAAAAAGATATAGGGAATTCCCTGGCAGTCCAGTGGTTAGGACTTGGCACTTCCACTGCCAGGGCCTGGGTTCAATCCCTGATCAGGGAACTAAGATCCCACAAGCCATGCGGTACCGCCAAGAAAACCCCCCAAAACAGGGACTTCCTTGGAGGTCCAGTGTAAGACTTTGCCTTCCAATGCAGGGGGTGCGGGTTCAATCCCTGGTCCGGGACCTAAGATCCCACATGCCTTGCGGCCAGAAAACCAAAACCTAAGAAGAAGCAATATCGTAACAAATTCGATAAAGACTTAAAAAAAAAAAAAAGGTCCACATTAAAAAAAAAAATCTTAAAAAGCAAAATAAATAAATAAAAACCACTGAAGAGTATACTTAAAAAAAACAAAAAATACGTGAACAAGATTTCTTTAATAGCTGGAAATTTTACATCATCTTATTTCCGTTCTTCTTCCTTCATAAGATAAAATGGAACATATATATATGCACCCACATATAAAAATATATAGGTAATTAATACATATGTGTATATATCTTTTTTTTTACTAAAGGCTAAATACTTCTCTGCAATAAAAATATGTATAAAAGTTGAAATTAAATTTTTATATACTTTCTGTGACCATAAATCTCTAGTGTTAAAATATTTCTTCAGTCAATTATCAGTATACAACTGATCGAATAAACATAGTATACATTTTGATTACTAAAGATAAAAATTAAAATTGTATTAGAGATGCAATTCTTAATGAGACTGAGGATTAGATTTTCAGTTAATCCATATATCCATGAATATCGCTACTGCTAGAATGAGACAGGTTCAGCATCAATTCTATTCCTATTTTTCGTGTTTATAGATACAAGAGCTGACAACCTCTGTTTACATAAACAAGCAGATTCCCATTTAGAAATCAGTTCAACTCAATTCTTTCAACGACTTCAAAGTTCTATGCCAAATCACATGGTGATCTCTTACCAATTACTTTTTTTGTTGTTGTTTTGTTTTGGCCGTGTTGTGCGGCTTGCGGTATCTCAGTTCCCTGACCAGGGATTAAACCTGGGCCTCCACGGTGAAAGCGCCGAATCCTAACCACGGAATTCCCCAATTACTTTTTTGATTTAAATTTTCAATTAATTTTAAAGTCACAAAATTAAGCCGCCCATCTCTAGACGCCACTAGGAAACCTGCTCAAAGTGGCAGATCAAGAGGGCAGGACAACAAACTACTTCTGGGGCGGGAAGACGTTTCCCACGTCTAACGGTGAGGAAAGTCTGCAATGCACATCACAGCCTTCAAAGCCTCTAGGCTGCCAGCGCTCTCAAGGCGCCTCATCTGCGCGGTGATTTCGTCCCGGTCACGAAAATGCGCAGCGTCCACCCTGAAATTAAGTGAGTCCTAGAGGAAATCCAACGAGTAATCTCACCTCCTCCGCCTTCACGTGGCTCGGTCTGTAGCTACCCAGACCCGAGGCCCCGCCCACCTCTGTCTGCCCTCCCGACCTTAAGGCGGGCTTAGAGCGCGCCTTCCCTTGGCAGGCGGTGTACTCACTGAGAATCTTTACTATTTGAAGGTTAGAGGGCCAGTGAGCAACTCGCGCGAGACGCAGACAGTATTCTCGCGAGAAGTCTGGGAGGCGGCAGTGATGGCGGCGGCGGGAACCGTGCCCGGTCCGGGAGTGAATGCAGGACCCGGCCCGGCAGTGGCTGCAAATGCAACACCGGCAGAAGAAGGGGAAACGAAGCCGGTAGTAGCGGTAGCAGCCGCTCCGGCCGGGGAGGGGACGTCTGCTGCTCCAGCCGCGGAGCCTGGCTCTGGAGAGGCCGAAAGCGGGTGAGACGTCCTGCAGCCCGAGGACGGAGGGAGGGAGGGGGACGAGGGGGGAGGGGAGAGAGGCCCGCCCCTCTCGGAATCCCGCGGCTCCTGGGAGCCCTCCGGCCCGCCCCTTCCGAACCCAGGCCCTGCGGCCAGCCGCTCGCCCGGCTGTCTCCCGGACCTTAGTCCCGCTCGCCGCTTGGCCTGTCCCCTCTGAACTGTATCTCAGGCTACGCCTCTTTCGCACCTTTTAGGCCAAGTTTCTCCTCCTACCTCCCGGCCCTTGCACACCAGCAGGGTGCTGATAGGTCACTTTCTAGCAGGAACCCTTCAAAAATCCCAGAGAGGAAACCACTTTGCGCTGCCAGACTGGTGGAAGTAATGGTCCCTCTGAAAACAGAGCGGAAAAGCTGCATCTCTTCGAACCTCCCCCAGGACCAGTTCCATCCCCTGTAGACTTGTCTGTAAGGGCCGATTAGGTTTCCTTGATGCGCCATGGGCTTGGGTTTATCTTGGCTGCATTCTTCCTAATGCTGGACATCCAGTCTAAGAACAGTCTTTGCTGAAAAAAGTAGGAGTGAAGTTCAGCTGTACTTTGACCATCATCTTTGGGAATAGGCGTTTTCAGGTGTATTTCTCTTGAAAATTCTTCTTTCTGAGTGCTTTCTTTATTTTACAGGGATGCAAACTCAGTTGATGTAAGTGGTGGCTTGGAGACAGAATCCTCTAATGGAAAGGATATGCTAGTAAGTATTTCTTTTGGATGTTTGCAAAGCAAAATAGGGTTGGTTTTTAAAGTTTTTAAGCGAATCAAAAATACAGTCAGGTCAACTAACTTGATTCTCTCATGGTTCTGTGGACACAGGAAGGTGCTGGGGATACTTCAGAGGTGATGGATACTCAGGCGGGCTCCGTGGATGAAGAGAATGGTCGCCAGTTGGGAGAGGTGGAGCTGCAGTGTGGAATATGTACCAAATGGTTCACAGCAGACACCTTTGGCATAGATACCTCGTGAGTATTTTTCGTAGACTTTGTAAGAATCACTTTGTAAATGTTAGATCTCAACACGTCCAACAGTTGAATAGTCAGTGTGTAGGCAAACGTAAATGCGTAGTGTTTCCTGTGTCTCCTGATCCCTGTTCAGTGAGTAGTAGGCTTTGAATCAGGAATTGTTTTAATAGCCTAAGCATGTCTTCTCTCTACTAAGGGCAAGCCCTTAACAGGTATAATGATAGTTATTATCCCTGTGTTTGCACTTAGGGCCTGGACGGGAGACAAACCATGTAATTACAAAGCATTAAATAAACAGATTTGAGACAATGTCATTTAAACCTTGTATTGGGTATTGTGGATTTGGGGGAAAGGGTTGGTGTGTGTAGTGGAAAAAGCCTGATGTCAAAAATTTGAGATGGCCAGTCCTCTTCATGCCTGAGCCATCCTTTTTTTCCTTTTGGTTTCTAATTCACTCCCTTTAGGTGTCCTGAATTCTCTCCTCAGCAAAACCAATTTCCAGTCTTTACACCTCTTCTAGTGAATTAAAATCATTTTATGAACGATTGAGAATGAAAGGCGCCTTTACTTATTCTGAGTATTCGGTCAACAGCTAGCAAGGCAGCATTACTGACTCACTGTCTATGGAAATAACTATACTGCTGCCCTCTCTGGGGTGTTCTTTATGGTCCGTATTATACAAATAAATTTAGATAAGACTGTCTCAGAATAGGGTTGCGATGTCAATTCTGAAATTAATCCCCCTTGGATGGGTTTGTGAAGAAATAACCTTCCTTTATAATTTGATAACTGCTTTCTAGTTAAAAAGTTAAAGAAATACTAATGTTCTGATTAATATGTGACTGGTGAGAAAGGATAGAATGTTTAAAAAAGAAAGAAAATTACTGAAGGATCAGGAAGAAGTGATCTTGGTAGAAAGACCTATAGGGAAAATATATAAGCTGGTCAGTTAGAAAAGACCTAAAATTGGGCCACTTTTGCCAAGGAGAATTTGGATAAACAAGGTCTAGGAAAGGAAATTTATCAGAGTGATAATGTGGAACAATCCAGCAATGAATCAAACCACAGTTCAGAGGTTTGGTAGAGACCAGTTTGTACCTGAATTTGAGAAGTTATACCTAAAACCCAGCAGGTGGGACAGATTGTTTATGGCTGAGATGGAGGAAGTGAGTGAGCTAGCAGGGTATGAAAAAGGCTGCTCTAAACACCTGATTGTATTTGAATTGGGTAACTATATACCTGCCTATCTCTTCTGTAAGTGAGCTTATCACAATGGACTGTTTAATGGAAGGGGCTCTAGAGAGAGCTAAAGGTAAGGGAACTCGATCTTAACAGTCCTAAGGATATTTCTTAATTCCTTGAGTGGTGGCAGTAGACACACATTTGGGAACATCTCTTTAAGGATACCTTAAACCAGTTTCAGCAAAGTCCAAGATAAACCTACCTTTATTTTGATTTCTTCTCTTCCAACTTAAACCAGTCTTTTGTTTTTCTTTTACTTTCTCCTTTTCAGGACCAAGCTCTCCCTATACTTTTCCAGTCACCCAGTACAGCCACCACACTTCTCTAATGCATGGTTCCTGTTAGCCCTCAGTCTCTCCCTCCACCAGTTTCTTCCTCTCTGCCTTCAAACAGGCCTTCTCTTGGCCCCAGCTCACCTCTTAGGAGATTTCCTCTATGATACAAGCAGTCTTAGTGGTTAGGACTCCTTTTATTTCATGCCCGCCCCCATCAAATCAGCTACCAAGCTTGACCAGTTTTTTTCTTCTTGTGCACTTGCTTGTCCTTTCCATTTTTATTGTTTCACTCGAGGTGAGGGCTTTTTTTTTTTTTTTTAACCTTCTGCTGGAACGGCTACAGAAGCTTCTTCCGTATTCCCGTTTCTAATCTCTTCTTCCCTTCAGACCCATCCTATCACTAAACTTACTGCTTTCACAAGGTGGCTTCCCCTTCAGGATGTTCCTGTTACCCACAGAGAAGATCTACTTCCACGGGCATGTAAGGCCTCTTGTACTTCTTACCTTTCAAACCTTATCTTTTACCATACCCCCGACAACTCCCCTCCCCTGGCCAAACTTGTGTACACCAGTTTGCCCCTTGGCCTCCTAGTTTGCACTTTCTCATCTCTACACAAAACAGTTTGCCTGTAGCAAAGAAGACCAACTCATCTTTCCAAATCCTAATTTGTGTCCTCAAAAAATCTTCCCTAACTCTTAAATCTGAAGTTACTCCTTGGGTCCTTTAAACTCTTAAATAAGACTAACTGTCATCTGTAGGATTCACTTGGTAATGAGGCAAGTCATGTTTTGTGACTTCTGTGTTGTTCTTGAATAATTATTTACATTTTAAAATTAATCTTTTTATACCTGTCTGCCCTTTCCAACAATGGTATTGGCACTTTACAAAGATACTTGAATATAATATAAATACAGATATTTAAATGTAAAGATATTTAAAGAGACTACTTTGTCGTCTTCCACAAGCCGCCTGGTATACTCTTTTAGGTGCTTACAAACTATAATAAACTAGCTTGGATAGGGCTCAGGTCAGAACCTTGCAGATGCCGAATTATCAACTATAGTGGATAATGTTTTACTAAATTTTTGTGACAGAAAAATCCAGGTATTTGTAAAAATATGAGCCCTGTTTTGGTGACCTTTCTTTTGACCCTGCTGCGCAGCATGTGGGATTTTAGTTCCCTGACCAGAGACTGAACCTGTGCCCCCTGCAATGGAAGCGTGGAACCCTAACCACTGGACCGCCAGGGAATTCCCTTGGTGACCTTTTTAAGTTTTAAGAGTATATTAATACATTAGCGTTATTATGTAACTTTCACTGAGGGAGAGGATCCCCGTTGATTTACTTCTCATAAGTGTGTGTTCAGAACTTCACTAATTTGCACAATTTGGCTGTTCTCCAGATCCTGTCTACCTTTCATGACCAACTACAGTTTCCACTGCAATGTATGCCATCATAGTGGGAATACCTACTTCCTCCGGAAGCAAGCAAGTAAGGACAAACTCCGGAGTACTGCAAAGTGACTGTCCTCTGGTTAGCTGGCAAAGAAAAGGGATTTGGGCTCAGCCGAATCAGGAAACCTTTGCTTGGTAGCTGGTAGAAGTTACCTTGGGGCTTAGCTCTGAATAATTGCTATTGTCCATTTCAGATCAAATGATGACTCTATTCTTTGCTGCTGTGGTTGTTAATCTGTGGACCACCTAGTTGAATATTCTTTTGGTAACAGGGATATATTACTACAGGTAACTTTTTCTTCCTTTTTGTTTTTATAGACTTGAAAGAAATGTGCCTTAGTGCTTTGGCCAACCTAACCTGGCAGTCCCGAACACAGGATGAACATCCGAAAACCATGTTCTCCAAAGATAAGGTAGAGATAGAATTATTGTAATTGCAATTATGCCAAAGAATCAGGAGGAACTTCTAAATACAGTGGACCCTTGAACAGCATGGGTTTGAACTTCACTGGTCCATTTATATGCAGTTTTTTTTCACTAAGTACATCCTACAGTACTACACATTTCAAGGTTGATTGAATCCTTGGATGTAGAACCACGAATACAGAGGGCTGACTGTAAACCTACGTGAGGATTTTTGACTGTGTAGACAGGCGGTGCCCCTAATCCCAGAGTTGTTCAAGGGTCAACTGTACAGTCTAACAATAAGTTCTTTCCCCCGAATTTTTATGAATATATGACTAATTCAGTGGTTACTTTGTTCTCATTTCATGTGATTTACTGACTTCCTAGTGTGTGCTCATTGTGTCATTGGCTTAGCTATTAGAAGGATGAATCCTTATATTAAAAAAGAGTGTATTTAAAAAAAAAAGAAACATAAATCCTTAAATAGTTTTGATTGGCTTTATAGAAGCAAACAACTGTCTGTCCCACAGTTAATAATCAGACCTTGAGGTGAACCTTCTCAGCTTAGTTTGAGCTGTTTTTATGGATGCCAATCACAGATTTTGTCAGGGGAAAAGGCCAGTTTATTAAAAAGATTCATCCTTTATTGTTAAACTGGAAAA